GGTCAATGACTTGAGCCGGACCTTGATACTTCTGAGGACGCTATTTTTCCGCGGTGCGTTGTTTTTCTACTCAACTGCTTCTTCATGGACACGGTTTCTTATGCTTCAGAAAAAGGATTAATAATTCTTGTCTAAAACTTACTACTCCCTCCCGATGAGCGCCCCCCGGAAATGTTCGGTATAACGAATTTTAATGTCGCAAAGAAGGGCTCCGCGTACTCCAGATTTCGAGTGCAGCAGATTTTTCTAATTTTTTTATCGAAAGTGCCATGTTTAAGAATTTTTTTGGCGGAGAGTTTGGTTTGATTCAGCAATTCCATTGGGCGTGGGAAATTTTTGAAAAGAGCATGAAAAAAATGTCTCAAACTCTGTCAATCACTGAAAAATTGTCCGATTTACATTCGGTTTGGACAGGGTGGCTTGTTTTTTTGCGTAGAATTGATTTCTGAAATAAAAAAGTAGGAGTGCCATTTGGAAAGTTCGACTTACGGGTGAGGCACCCCCCGCCCCGCGCCCCTCCCGCGGTTTGGGAAAATGTCGAATACGCCAAAAGGTGTCCCCCTCGATATAAACGAACACGTCTTTTACCGTTTTTCGAAATTCCGACGCGTTCGACAGATATTCAAGGTGGCTCGTTTTTCGTGAGACACCCTGTATGTATGAATGATTTCAAGGAATTTTCATCAGATCAAGAAACAAACAACGCATTTTCTAAAAATTCTTCAATCAAATTTTTATAAATAAATTAACTGAAAAATGAAACTTTAAGAAAACCTTAAGAAAAAGTAAGAGCTTCTGGCTGTCACTTCTTCACATTTTACGGACCATACGTACGAGGGTCGTTCCAAAAGTAAGTTTCCCTATTTTTGCTCTCTGCAAATTTTAAAGCTAAAACAAATCTGTAAAAACTTTGTTGTAGGTCATACTTTCAGCTTTTTAAAAAACTAAAGTTTTTATATTTTGGCTTATTGGGTGCCGAGAAAAATAGGTTTTCCCGAACAAACCTCCGTGCCCCGCGGGTTTAAATTATAGCATTTTGAAACTAGACATGATTCGCGCGATAGCAGTTATTTTCAACGAATAACAGATGAATTGAGCAAATGTTCAATCATCTTCTATACTATAAGCTCTCAAGCCTCCTAATTTTGCGAAACTGGTAACGCTTAGTTCCAGCGTTCTACAAAGCCGATTTTTATGATTTTTGCGGTTATCGACGGGCAATTGTCTCTAGATAAGCCAACTCTTTTCAGATTTTCAAAATATGGCCTAGGTTTTTTTATATTAAGTGGTAAAGTTGCGAATTCTCCCATTTAAACAATGTAAATTTATATTTTTTGTCATAGTTCGTTTGAGCGTTCTACCGGGCCGATTTCCAAGTTTTTTGCGGTAATCGACGGGTAATTGGCCTTAGATGAGCCCGCTCTATTCAGATTTTGGAAATAGGACCCAGGTTTTTTTACAATCACGTTATAAAAGTGAGTGAATTTTCAGAATGCTCCGAGACTGCTACCGCTATGCGCGGGAGGATGCGCAGTGGTCGAGGAGGTTGCGCAGTAGCTGGGTAGCCTGCGCATCAGCTCTACACTTATCTACTCAAGATTCGCCCCCACTTCCTCACGTCGAGCGGTAGCCGAGTCGTCAAAGACGTCGGAAGCGTCCACTTAAAATATGGTGTGGGTTCGATCCCCGTTACCCGAAATTCTTAATTATTACCTGATTATCAATGTTCGTTGTTTTACTGCAATATTTCATCAAGTAGTCATTCCAAAACGCGTCCTTTAGACTTCAAGAAAAAAAAATTGTTTCTTTATTCATCAAAACCAAAAATTATTTCATTCTAAAAGTAAAGTATACCTCATTTCGTAATTTTTTAGGGGAAAAATAAAACTAACACCGATAGGAGGGTTAAAATAGCGGCCCATTGATGGCGCGGAGCGCCTTCAGGGGGTTGGGCCGCGTAGCGGCCAGGGGGCGTAGCCCCCTAGTTATGCATAATACCGAAGACCTTACCTTACTTTTCAACATGGTCTCCGCTGATATCAAAACATTTTTGATACCGTGGCGTGGCACCAGCTTCCGTATCTCTTCCGCAATTTAAGAACTCGGGTGAATGCTTCAGGAGTCAAGGGTTGACTGCGTGCTTCACTTATTCATCAGTAGCAAAGCTCTGACCTCCGAAATCCAGTTTGACCGCCTTACTCTCCTGATCTTGCACCGAGTGATAACTTTCTGTTTCCTCATCTCAAAATGAATCGGGTGGATCTCGTATAGGGGGCCCGGGAGGGTTCCGCTAGAAAATTTTCGAAATTTCAAAGCATCTATGATCTAACATGCAGGTTGAGTCAATTTTATTTTGCCATGAACAATAACCAAATACAGGGGTCCTTCCCTCTTCTTTTCTCCCTTCCTACCTTTTTCCATTCTCCTTCCTCTTTTTCGAGCGAACGGGGGGGGGGGGGGCAGGCGTACACCCCTTCTCGATTCCGCCTACATTGGTAAATATCGTCTATTTGTATATTCGATCGCAAAAATCTCTGTCATCAGGAAGATCTACGCGATTACTTCCGAAAATAACTTTCACCGAGCACTGTAAATGTCGACGGTGAAACTACCAAACCACGTATCTCGGTTTGCGACGTCGCAGACTTCCTGTCATACTTATTATTTTTTAAATGAAAAACTACCTAACATCCAGTCTTGAAAATTTCTGTGATTTTTCCTCTTTGTGCGGAGAAAATTCCGTGAAAATTTCAAGGAATGATATTGATTTGGTCTACTTCAAAAAAATAAAATGTGAGCGTAGATTTTTAAACACCGCAAACGAGATACGTGGTTTGGTAGTTTCACCGTCGATGTGTACCTCTCCCTCGAACGTTACTCACAATCAGACACAGATGTTACATTATTAGCACCTGGGTGGTTTCATGATAACTGGAATAGTTTTGTCGCCGTAACAGACAACACATTTTTCGGTCATATTTCATCCCATCCCATCCTTCCTATAATAGTTACTCGACCTATGTCGTCAATTCTTTCGTTCACGATAATTATCGTTAGATTTACGTCAGCTGATTCAAATTTTGTAATTTTGTCCATTTAGGTCTCATGAAGAACTGTATATATTTTCGGTTAAATCGCATTTACCGTTTACTTACAAACGGTAATGAACGTAAGTGCCCTACTTACGCTGTTTTCCACTAAACTGTTTTCATCCTAGATATATCGTTCAATATAAAGCGGGATAGACAGGGATAAAACGGAATTTATGATATTCACCGGGATAAAAGGTAGGAATTTTAAGAAAAGGGGAATAATCAGTGTGAAACAGGGTAGATAGGATTTAAACAGGATAGATACTGATACAACAGGGTAATGTTCATCGATCTTCGATATATCGTTCGATAATATGATAGACATGGATAAAACGGGATGCATTGATATTAATCGGGTTAAATGGAGGAAGTTTGAGAAAAGCAGGGGAATAATCAGTAAAGATAAGGATAAAACAGGATAGGTAGGGTTATCCCACCCTTCGATATATCGATCTTTGATATACTGTCCAATATGAAACAGGATGGGAAAATGGCATAATCAATTTGAAACGGGATAGATAGATAAATCAGGATAGATATGGGTAAAATAGGATATATAGATAGGGATAAAACGGGATGTATTGATATTAACCGGGATAAAAGGGATGTTTGTCGTGTTTGAAGTTTTTGCTGTGTTAAATGTGTTTGTTGTGTTTGATGCATTTGTTGACATTTGTTGTGTTTGTAGTGTTTGTTGTGTTTGATATGTTTGATGTGTTTGATGTTTTTGTTGTGTTTGTCGTGTTTGATGAGTTTGATGTGTTTGGCGTGTTTAATATGTTTGCTGTGTTTGTTATGTTTGATGTGTTTAATGTGTTTGATGAATTTGTTGTGTTTGATGCGTTTGTTGTGTTTGATGTGTTTATTGTGTTTGTTGTGTTTGATGTTTTTGTTGTGTTTGATGTGTTTGATAAGTTTGTTGTGTTTGATAAGTTTGATGTGTTTGATATGTGCGTTTTGTTTTCACTCAACCCACCTATATTCTATCTTCAACTATACAGGGTGTCCCGTGTCCCCAAAGTCTCTTCTACCCCCTCTAAAATTTTATCTAATTAATATTTTGAAAGAAAACTTCGGGAATGTTCAAAGATCAATGTAGGCTACTCTCAGGGCCCCCAAACTTTTCGCCCCCCCCCCTGGGGATGGGTTACGGGCCTCAACTTTTTTTTTCAAATGGCATCTAGACCCGTGACTTCAGTCATGGGCTTTCCGCTAGTTTTTAATAGTAATGATAATCATTTGAATTTTTTTTTTCATTAATCTACAAAGAGTTACGCGTTATAACCCTTTTCAAAGATTTATCGCTCTACTTTCCAACTTTAATAAATAAATGGCCGGAAATGTGCTGTCTGTTACGCTGACTTTTTATCGCGAAACAGACAGCACATTTTCGGAATTCACATGCTATTGATTGAGAAGTAGAGTAATAAATCATTAGAAAGCGTTATAATACATAGGGTAACCTTTTGAAGATTATAATGCGAAACAATTCGAGTGATTTCTACTAAAAATATGACCGATAATAATGTGTTGTCTGTTACGGCGACAAAACTATTCTAGTTATCGTGAAAGCACCCTCTTGTAGCCATGAATTTCAAAGGAATTTTTAAAACATACCTGAGACTCTGCAGATAACTGGCAACGGTGGATACAGTTTGCTGTGGCGATAAGGTAATTGAAAATTGCAATTGAATACTATGCAGCAATTACATTTGCACAAGACGGTGTGTACGCGGAGAGCGATGGCCAAGGCCGAAGGGTAGTTAGACTCTGTGGCGCAAGCGTGAGAACCGCGTAACTCCATTCATAGCGTCGCGTAGATGAGTGATTTTTCTTTTGCACGATAGCACCGAAGACTAGCGGAGGGGAGCTAAAATACACACGCATCCACTGCGGTTTCCCCGTCGGAAAATTCACATCGGGTCTTAGTTCAAGAGCGCCATGTAAGTGTGCAAGAGCTTCCGACTTGGGAAAGAATCGCACGCCAATTGATCATTTTTACCCAGTCAAGAGCCACCCTGGACCAAATCTTCGATTCTCGGCTTCGCTTTCGATAGCCTTTGATTTCGCGTTGGGTTTTCGGTCGGCTTATGCCAGTTGAGTGAAAAAAAAAAATTCAATATTTCTCTCGAAGTGGTCAAAATTCTGGTCGAAACAACTTGAAGTTTCTCGGGCATTTTTTCTAAATTTTTTTTTAAAAAAAAAAAATCCAAGTGATTTCATTTTGGAAAATTTCGTGGGGGTCAAAACAGTCGCTCGTCGAGACTTTCGTCGGCTGAACTTACGTCATTAAAGTAATTCGGGCGCTATTTGAATTCGTAAGAAGTTTCATCCGTACTTTTTTTTTTTTTTTTAAATAGCAAATTCTAACATTAAAAAGGAAATTTAATACCAGGACAAGTGTAGATTTTGAATCGCAAATTAGTGCGCTGTCCTAAATTTAGTTTCAGTTTTTTTTTTTTTGTGAAAAAACCGACGGAAACGGACGGTTTATGGTATTATTTTTGTCGTGCGTCTTTGTAAATTATCTTCTGATTTTTACGGTGACAAAAAGTTTACGAATTGCTGGTCTGTCTGAGACGAAGAAAAAAATTGGATACGATTCAATTTGAGTAAGTACAATTTTTATCTGAATGCTTTTTAACTTTTAAAATACTTATACATATGCACTGTTGGTGGGTTATGTTGTGTGAAATTGATGAAGTGACTGTCCAACTTTTCCCTTCAAAATGTTCAAAAAGCCAATGAATCGGAGGCTCTTTTCTATTATTTAGTTTTAGTTACCCGTAAACTTTTGGCCCATGCGTAGATCGGCCAAAAGGCATAGGTATACTCAAATCTGTGCCCACAAATTTTCTTCCATTACCTATAGCTGTCTGCACAAGACATGAGAAGTTTTATGTTCCCCGCAATAGTAATGCTGTATAAGACACGGTCTGAATTCGTCAATGCCTTAGAAGGTGCGAATTTCCAACTTGCGGAGTATTTGGATCGAGTAAAGCAGAAAGGAACCAAATTACATCAGCTGTTGACAGTTTTAACTGGGAAATTTAATGTATTACATGCAAAACGTTTGTCCGGATTTTTGTGCATTTCAGTGAATTTTTAGCATAGTGCGAAGCGAATTCCCTAACAATTTCAAAGGAATCCGCACATACGTTCTCTTTTAAAAAATTGAATTGCCCAGTTAAATTTGGCAACAGCTAATGTGGCTTAATTCCTCTAAGGGAAGAGTATCTAGCAGCTTACCCTCTCTTTTCGAAGTTGTTGTATTCTCAAAACTGACGGAGATCAAGTTTATTTTTTNATGTGGCTTAATTCCTCTAAGGGAAGAGTATCTAGCAGCTTACCCTCTCTTTTCGAAGTTGTTGTATTCTCAAAACTGACGGAGATCAAGTTTATTTTTGGGGGGGGGGGGGGGGCTCGTTCCAGAGACTACACTCTCTGCCTTTGAAATTTCTCATTCAGATAAACTTCTATAGCAGGATATTAACGGGGGATGTGGGAAGGGGGCAGCGAACATCAGGTATTGATAAAAATGCATAGACTTTTCCACTATTTAAATACTATCTCGTTGTTTCATTCATGAATAACTACACAAGAGGTTGAAGTCCAAAAACCAGTCAATGAAGGTGGAAAAGCCTTGAGATAAATGACTTCAACGCACGTACATAAAAACAACCCGTGTGGAATGATAGTGCTTTTGCATTTAAGGCTCCTGTGCCATGCAGTGCTGCTAAGTTTATACAACTTCTCATATTGTGTGCAGAAAAAACTATGGGACTAATGTCGCGACGTTTTGTATTTTTATTGTTTTTAAGCGGCTTAAAAGTTTCGAAACCACCCAAGAAGTTTCATTGGGCTCGCTCGGTTTCTTTCCTTATCTGCACTTTTCTCGCTTTCTCATGGAGGCCAAAGCTCATTTATTTTTCCCTGATCCATTAGGATTAAAAAGGCTTTGTTTGTGATGGCACTCAGCAGCACAGAGCTTTTTCCATTAGGAGTTTTGAAAAATGGCACAAGTTCAATTGTTTAGAATTGGTAAAATGTGTCAGACATGGGCGTGCACAATAGTAAGGCAGTATGCGGGTATGCAATAAGTAATGGAGTTCCAGGCAGAGACGAGTATCACTAGCAAAATTTACGCGCAAGATTCCTCTGAATTCCAAAACCACGTAGGTGAGGTTAACGCCGTATTGAAGATACAGCCGCTCTTCAGAATGAAATCCCTGCTAAAACATCGTTTAATCGAACGAGTCCAACTGACGAAAGGTAAACACATTCTCTCTCTGCCCGAGACCACAGTTCCGAATGTTTATAGTGTGTCTTCAACTTGCGCCCGGAACTTGGGTTCTGAACTACCTCAGACCCAACTTTAGACTCAATGCAGCTCTTTTATACGTCTGGTATTTACAATTGGACGTATTTCTGCCAAACAGAGCCAAAGAAGGGATGTGCTCGTTAGTCGAAGGTCGTAAGAATGAATGGGAATTATAAAGCGCCAGTGACCACAGCGTCATTGCGCGGTCATCAGCGGTCGTCTTGAAGTCATGAGCCGTGTCCACAACGTTCTTTCTGCATGCTCATGGCTCATGAGTGTTGCATAGTTCTGTTTGACAGAATGTAAAATCCCGCTTCTCCATTTCTCCAGAGGGGATCAAGCCCATTTTAACATTGTTTCATATCCAGCTTTCTAGAGCGCACCCCATACCTCCTACCCGTCTCTAGTTCTGTTTGGCAGAAATACGTCCAATGAAAGTACTTTAGGTATCTTGCGTAAGCGCGAGAAGTACGTTAAACCCACTGGGTTTCTCTAAAATGAACACTCGAGTTTAGAAATAGCTCTCAAAGCTGAGGCCGTCATGGAGAGGATCATCGAGCCAAGCTGAAAGTACATCTCTTTACGAAGTCAAACTCTCCATACACAGATATAGGGAGCAAATACATTAGAAACATTGCCGTGTTTTTAGCCTTTCAGCCGTTCAGCCCCCAAACAAAGTGACACCCCTATTAATGTATTTGCTCCCCGTCTGCGCACACATGGAGAGTTTGACAACACGTAGAGGTGGACTGACAACGTTGCGTGAGGGATTCCCTCCCATAAGGTCTTGGCTTTTGAAGCTCTTTTCGAGCTTGGGAGTTCGTTTCAGAGAAAACTTGTGGTACCATATATTTCTCGCGAAATGTC